GATTTAATAAATATAGTGTAAGTTACTTACAATAGCATGTAGCAAGTTGGTATAATTGAAAATATTCTCCATTTTAACTTTCAAATTTTATAACTGTTACAATGATAATGAAATGGGTAATATCATATTTAATTTGACGCTCAGTTGGGCAATAGAATGCATATAGTTAGTTACTAAATTACTAATAATTAAAATTACAATTAAAAAATAAACATAAATAACTATTATAAAGAACGCTAAAAATTACTTTTAAAATATAAGTCAATTAACTATTATTTAGGCATAAAATTCAAAGTTTCCATAATAAAAGCAAACGAAATACTATGTCATTCCCTTAATATATGATTTACATACTTTTTAAAGCTATTTAACTGAGAGTGAAATGATTCATAAAAAGTAGTCGTTAAGTAGATATTAATAACTGGAACTTGCACATTTACTTTCTTAAAGGATTTAGATGTATTTATTTCATTATTTATTAATTTAATTTTACACTATTAAATTTACTTTTATTAATTTTTATTTAAAAAAATATTATTGACTTAATAAATCGTACATTATTAGAACGACAAAACTTTCGTTTAAAGTAAATTAATTGTCAATGTAAATTTTAGTTGTATATTAATTATTTTTGAAGATTTATTTATCATATTCAGTATTTAGTTTTTATCAATTTATTTAGTATTAATTATATACGAATTATTTACGTGGATTGATAAATTAAATCATTTTTCATTCAATTATTATTTTACGTTAATTTCCTATTTAAATAATTTGTATTCTTTAAGACTATATATATATAACAAAACATTCTATATATTTTTAATTTATTAAAAAATTTCAAGATGGCCATTTTTAGAGTTGATTTTAACAAAAAATTTGATAAAAAAAATATCTTATTAATGTTCAGTAATAAATTATCTGATGCAATTAAAAGTTTATAAAAAAACTTGGGTTTTGTGTTTAATTTAAAGATGTCAAACATGAAAATATGAATTGAGAATAGGATAGATGAAAACGAAATATTTTTACGCTAGATATTAGTTATATGTATGTAACTTTTTACACGGAAAATATCTACACTTGAATGAGCGACTGTAAATGAACTTAAAAATTTGATAAGCAGAAGATCTCTTTGGTATTGACTTATCACAAGTCATAATAAGGTCTTGGTTTATTCGAAACAATAAGTTATACGATATGACAATCGTAGTTGATTTTCAAATATACTAAAATTGACATATTTTCAATTAATATAAATAATTAAAAACTCCATCTCGTAACATAAGGATCATTTAAAACTAAAATTAGTTTATTTTTGTTATACTTTAAGTTATAATATGATATAACATACATTTTATAAATTTTTAATTTCTCTGCTACTTATTAGTTTGCGTTCTTATTCAGGTTTAATATAATATACACATTACATTTTTCAACATAAATTAATAGTTGTTTAATATACATAATAAAACGTCGATTATTAATACAATTAAAGTTATTGTTTTTTCAATCATTAAATTGTGTTAGATCACATCAAAGTGTAGTTTAATTTTGATGATATCTATTATTATTTTTTTATTTTGCTCAACTTCTTAAACTGAATTTAGTCAATTGTATGGTTTATTAGTTCTTTATAATAAATCAAATTTATTAAGCGAAAAGCAGTTAAATATCCATTATTTTCATGTTTTCCACTAAAATCATTTAAGTAAAAAACGTGTTTAGAACATTAAATAATGCTATTAATAAATTAGATTAAACATGATGATTATTTCATTAATTTTGTATAATATATTTAACTTGTGAATTACACAAAATGTTACTTCTCAGTGTTTTATTTTAAGCAATCGTTCTAAGAAATCAAGAAGTAAAAACCTTTAATTTTTAGCAATATTTATAAAATTATGTATAATACAAATAACAAATGTTTCATTTCATTTTTCTTATATTTAATGAACTATAATTTAGATTGATCAAACATTTTTTTTTATGTTCATAACTATTTTATAGATATTTCATCGTGTATTAGTGTTAAATTATTATTACTGGTATAAATATTAGACATAATAAATTGAGTTCATGGACAATTATATGTATTTAGTTTTCTTTTTAATAAATCATATTAAGTTTTTATTAATTATGTTTAGTACTAATTCTAGTAATTAAGTAATTCTATTGCCATGTAATAGATAAATTCTTAGATAATAGGACAAATACAAACTATACACCTTTTCAATTACCAAATTAATACATAGATAAAAACTGAACTGAAATTTAATATTACATCACAATTAATATCTTTTAAAACCAACAATTTATGAATAGTTTGTATTACTCTATAAAAATGAATTGGATTTAAATAGTTTCAGAAATATCATTTTTCTTTTAAAATTATAAAAAAAGTATTAATATTAAAAATATAATATTTCTCTTATTATTGTCATGTAATTGATTTAAAGTTTTAAATAAAATCCTATTTAGCATAATATTCCTCATTGGGTAATTTAGTACGTATATTTCATTAAAACTCTTAATGGAACAGCAATATCAATTAACTTTTATTGTTGAAGATGCTTATTATAATATTAGTTTAAATTAAAATTTTTTCAGAAAATGTATGTATAGACAATATAAAATTTATAACATAGCATAATTTTTATAGTAAAACATTCTAAAAAGAAGCTATCAAATAAAATTATAGTTATTTTTTCACAAAAATAAAGTAAATAATTTATTACACAAAGTAATTAAATTAAAAGGACGAAAGGTCCATAATATCAAAAATTGTTACAAAATAATATTCTATAATTTATTCAAATATAAATAATAATTGATAAGTATTTATCAATTAGTAGTAGAAATCAATTATAAATGTTTGTAAGAAGTAGGCTTTCAAATTTAATATTAAAATTGCTTCTCAGTATTGACTTTTATCAATTGTTATGTTTAATATAAAAGCATATTTAATATTAACTAACACTATACAATTAGCTTATTTTTAATAAGAATTATAAATTGAAGATTATACAAAATATTATTTACCCTTTGTGGTGAAATGTTGAAAAAACAATATAAAGAAATTAAATAAAATTATTTAACTAGAAGTTTTAATATTTCGTACTTTACTTTAGTAGTAGATGTAAAATTACAAATTTCACGTTACTTTATTTTAATAATAATAAATATAAGCGTTTAATAAAGAAACATGTATTTATTTTAATGGATAATTTTCATTTATGATTAAATAATTTGTTATTAAAAAAATTATTATCTACTTAAGAATTGACATAACTGAAGAGTATAAAATATTTTAATACAGAATAAAATATTACTCAAAAAGAAAAAAAGAAAATTCTAAAAAAAATAATATTTTTTACAATTACACAGCAAGTTTAAATTCATTTAATGATATCAATATTTATTCAACAATAACTCAAAATTATTTTCATAATTATATGTTCCCTAAATTAAATTATCATTCACTCACAATTAATACCAATGAGATCTTATCAAATAGGTAATATTACTACTCAATTATTTTGCTCAATTACAGTCACTTATTCAAGGGTAGATATTTTTCATGTAAAAAGTTACATACTTATAACTAATATCCAGCGTGAAAATATTTTGTATCCTCTGTTCTTTTCTAAATTCATATTGAAATGTTTGATATCGTAAAATTTAACACAAAAACTCAAATTTTCATAAACTCTAAAATGCAACATATAATTTATTACTGATCATTAATGGTATTACATAATATTATGATATATTTTTATCAAATTTTTGGTAAAAATCTACACTACAAAATTCAAAATCTTAAAATTGTATTACTCAATTGTGTACATATTTATAGAATTTTAATCTAGATAAAAATATCCAACTTGAAATATCCGAAAACCAAAATTTAAATTTAATATATTTTTAATATAGATATTTTTAGCTAGGATATTTTGGATCCGGATATTTTTACCAGACAACTTAGTATTTAGGTGAATAAAACAATAAACGTATAGGTCTATGAAAGTTTGATTATAAAATTTATATAATATTATATAATAATGTCACCTAATATCTATCAATGTTATTCATATATTTTATTTTAATTATTTTAAATTACGAGTACAATTAACACCATATAATGCAAAATATAAACTGGAAATTCCAATATCACATAACTAAACACCACCGATTAATTCGGTTAATAAATGAAATTAATCATCTGGTTGACCTTATCAACCATTAAACATTTCAAATGTTTTTATTCTTTATTTTCTGAAATATAACGTGAAAGGTGTGAAATCAGGTCGACAAAAATTTTGATCTTCACTTCTTAAGTTAATCATAAAGGTAAGATAAATACTTTTAACAATTTTGTACGTATATAATTTATTAATTTATATATAAACATCTCAACTTCAATTTAAATACACTAAATTCATTTATAATGAGATTTAGCTAAACATTATTTATTAAAAATAAATCAAATGATGTATTATCACGTAGTCAGTTCATCTAAGACCAACTGACATGTAAAATAAATGTAAGTAGCCATTAATGCTATAAATTTTAGTACGAAAATTAGTGAGAATGGACGTTATTTCAAAATATATGAGTCAAAGTACAAGAAAGACTTAAAATAAAAAATTTCAATTAACCAAAACTTGGAAGTAAGTGTACTTTAAAAAAAGTTTTTAAATAGTTATAATAGTCAATAAAATATATCAAATATTAATCGAACCTTTTAAAAAAGAAATATATAAAAAAACTCTAAAAATACAAAATGAATAGTATGAATAGATAGGTTTAAATATTAATTAAACTTGCTGGCTTTCAAGACTCGAAAAGCATTTATGAAAATGTAGCAAAATTTATCGATTTATAAATTATTTTACCAGTGTAACCAATATAAGTTGCATTTTACAATTTTTTTAACAAAAACATGAATGTTCCATAGTATTTTTTAATGAAATAAAATTTAAAAAATGCTAAAATATTTACTTGTTATTTTTGTTTACTTTGTGCATTGTTATGCATTCAGTACTTCCGAATTAAAATGTGAAATTTGTTGTCGACTTGTTGAATTAATCCAAAAAAATATAAGTTCTGTTGAGCCTTCTCGGGTCAGCCAAGTTGGAAACTTTCGGATAGATGAAAAAGGTAATCATCAAAGCAATATTGTACCTTTATCTCGTTCACAAGTTTATTTATCAGAAGTAATGGATTCAGTATGTAAACAAATGTCCGATTACGTTCGTGCGATTTTTAAGGAAAATGGTACTTTAATTGTGATGCCACTACTTGTTAATGGTAAAATGAATCCACTTATGAGTGATGTTGATATAGTACAGGACTCGGATTTGAATAAAAGTTTAGAATACTATTGTGATTATATTGTTGATGACATTGAAGAGGATGTATATAGAATTATAAAAACAGAAAATAATGAAAATATAGTGGATGCTATTTGCATAGATACTATTAAGTTATGCCCAATATATAAAAATAGAGTAGAACTTTAATTCTGTTAATTTTTCAGACAAATTTTCAATTTTGTATTCTATCATTTATTCTTATAGGATAAAAGTAAAATAATATTTTATTTAACCGAAGGGTTAAATGGATTGAAGAATCCATCATCTAACATATTTATTGTTTACCATTATAACATAGGTTTCTAATAACAATAAATGGTATATAATACAACCAATGTAGTAATTATAATTTTTTACCAAGAAATGACACCTTATATAAATAGGAAAGTAGGAATTTGTTTCTGTATCTAGGAGGATTTCATAACTTTTCATAATAAATTTTTAAGTTGAGTTACAAAATGTAGAGTTAAAAAAAAATTCACTTTATTAAGGGAGGATTTTAATTTATTTTACATCAAAATTTAAAAGAGTTTAAATTAAAATCATTATTACTACACTATAATAATGGAATTTGACTCGGTTAATTTTATAATTATTTTTATAAATGAAATTGGAATAGCTTATAAGTTTTCAAACTTCTAATAACATTAATTAAAATTAAAATTCAATACAACAAAAATTATTAAAAACCAATAAAAACTTTTCTTTTTTCTTTATACCTCTATTAGATTCAAAAAGACCGTATTAAAACTGTATAAATAAATATATATATATTATATATCACGTGTTTAAAAAAAATTATATTCTAAAGTAAGGATCGTCAACAATTTTTTTTTAAATCCAATATCGCCCAAATTCTAGTAATATTATGATATCAAAAAAAAAAAACAATTTATATCAATATCCTATGCAAAAAAAATATATCGAAAATAAAATATGTGTTTATTTTAGAAAAGGACTAATATAATGGGTATAATTGGTTTGAAACAACTGACTAAGGCAATAATAAAAACAATGGGTACATATATATTCACAATTACAGACAACAGATAAAGAAAGATATAAAACATACATTCACCACCATAAACATCAAAATAACACAATAATTTTTGCATAATTGCCACATGTCACTGTTAAGATTCCCGTGCTGTCATCCATTGGAGAACCAACAGCTAATAAATAACAGCTTAACATCAATGCTAATGCGGTAACTGTATGATCCACGGCGTCATACCACGTCCATATAACCATTTAATAATGTAATAACATTTTTTAAAATTATATCTTATAATGAGGATGAATATAATAATTTATAGCACTAAGCAAAAATCACTTAAAAATATTGTTTTTAATGTTTTATTATGCACCAAAAAGGTAAAAACATATTTTCATATACCCGTTACTCCCTGTTTACACTGTATCGTGTTTGTCTCATTCACACATAACGTTATCAATTTATGTGGAGATATGTCGGAATCTGAGTTATGACATATACGGAGACCTAGTGATTCAAAACCAAGGTCGATTCCATGATCTAATATTTTGTAAGTAAATGTATGAATCAGAATGAGGCAGTGGCTATTTGAAAGGTTAGGTTTCAGATAGTTACCACGTAACCGCGCCAGGTGCATTGATCTTCCAAGGACTCTCAGTTGCTTGATTACTGTAAAAATGGCGACTCCTCAACAAAGGCTTTCTGTGTTTTTGAGTTTGAAAAATTTAAGTTAGTGATAACAATGAAATGTACGTTCAGAGTGAAATTCAATTGTGATGCGCCTTTCCAAAACACATCCGAAGGTGATTTAAATAGTTTGTTGAGAACTGGTGACTGCAAACTCCAGAGGAAATTTTGAGATATACTGTGCTGAGTTTCAGCGGAGCCCAAGGAAATCTATACGGCGTGATAGTTCCGAACTGACAATTCCTCAACCCATGGCGTGTGCTTAAGCCTATCAATTAGAACATTTTATAATGAAAAACTGCCTTAGTGATGAATAGGTCGGATAGGGGCTTAATACATCGCTTTTTGTACTTGGACTTCTAGATCTCCTGACCTCACAGTTTGTGATTTTTTTTCCTGTGAATTTATAAAGGATAAAGTCTTTGTTCCACTATTAATAATTGATCTGGATAACTTAAAATATTGAATAACAACATCGATCAATTCAATTGACTTAATATGCTTCAACGTGTTTAGGAAGTATTTTCATATCATCTTGATGTTGTCTGCAAAAGGTGGCTATATTGAACATTACCAACATGTGAAATAAAACTTGACCACGAGTAGAATACTTGTACATAAATTTAATTTGTTTGCTATTTTTCCTTAATAAAATATTTAATCATAAAATCGGTTCATTCTTTTTTAATTATCTCGTACATTGACACTGAAGGTAACGATAATTATCAGATCTCAGATATTTATGACTTTGCATACATTTACAGCATAACTCGATCTATACATCAGATAATTATATAGATACTTATAGAGTTAGAGTTCTATACATCAGTAAAATACAAATTTGATTAATAAAGTTTAGATGATTTGATTCCCGACAGCATAAATGTAAATATTTTAGTTATTTTTTAGAATTCGTAATTTTTTATCAAATTTTATTTACAAAATACACTTAAATTTTATTCTTTAATATTCGTACTAATTTAATGAAACTTCCAAAAAAAATTTTAGATTATACATACCAAACTCTAACGTACTAATTTTTAAATTTATAAATATCAACCACACAACTTTATTCTTATGTTTTATTTTTATCTTCTACTTAATAAAAATTATATTATACTTAACAAAATAATATTTTTATTATATTATAAAAAAAAATAATTATACAATAAAACAATTAGAATACTTCAAAATTAATTTTGTCAGCCCATGTCAAAATCGTATGTTTTGAAATTTCTTTCAAGTTTTTCAAGTGAAAGAATTTTGACACACAAATAAAAATAATATATTATTTACTTATTATTTTGTAGAGTAGAACTATGTCAGGTAATACAATGATAACAAATTTTTTTCGTTCAATTTAAAAAATTGATCCTAAAATTATGATGTCATCGATGTACAAAGTAATTGACATATCATTGATCTGTAAATTAATCTGAAAAATATCGTTGAAAATATTTTTATTTTGTATTATTGAATTTATTTTTCAATTATTAAGTTTAAATCTGCCTCCCCAATTCAGAAAAAATAAATAGAACATATTTTGTACAAATACATCTTTATTAATGAGGTGTTTATATATTTGAGAAGAGAATGATCTATATTATGAATAAAATATCAAAAAATATTACTAGTTCCTACTGTTTATATTATATAATTTTTTAAATAAAAATAAATCCGGTAAATTTCTACGTTTTTTAAACTTTTAAAAATGAATGAATCAAAACAATTTTTTTTTATAAACGCTTTAGGGTTTTAGCTTTCAATTGGTATGTTTTTTTGGAAAATCTAACCATTTACTTGCCCACAATAGGAGTTTAAAATATCAACTTTTGCATGAAAAGTTAACTTTATCTTATCTTTTAACCTTAACCTATGTAAATAATCCGAAAATACTCAGACTACAAATGAATTTTGTATTAAATCTTATACATAATATAAGTAAGAATAAAATTTGTCCCGACGACATGTGTTCTATGTGCAAATGTACACGATAATTAAAAACATGTTATTTTTGTTTTTTTATAATTTTCAATTTTGTATAATTAAATTTTAATTGCAATAAATTTTTGAAAAATGTATGGATCAATACAGATTTTTTTTTTAATATTTTATACATACCACTTTCACTTTCAACAACATAAAAAGCGGTGATGCTTTTTATGTTTCTATAGAGTAGGTCAAAAGGTCTAGTTATGTGGGGGTAGGGAATAAGAGCCCACACATGATCCCTTCTTTTATAAAAAATAAAAAAGCTTTAGTTATAAATATTTTCAGGGAGAATTTTCAATTATTATTGTAATTATGTGTTATTTAAAAAAATTATCAATAGCTTTTTTAAACAATAATAAACATATTTCACCTTGTTAGAAAGTGATCGAACTAAAAAAATGATTGGTCGTTTATAACTTCTTACTGACCAGTAGTTCAGTCATTATGAGTATTTTAATGTCTGTGTAAGAAGATTAACGTGACAGAAAAATACATTATGATAAAACTGTTAATAATTTTCATAATACAGCTTTAACAGTGGTTTAGATGGTTTGGTTATAAAGGAAGTGAAATCCAAAGCTATAAGAACGGTTATGATAATAAAAGTTGAATAAAGAAGAAGACCTAAAAACAAGAGTTTGTATATAATTAGGGTTTTGTGTATAAAAGACGTAAAGGATCGTGTTTAAATTTATAACACAGGTGGACGGCTTTAAATATTTGGAATAGGCGAGTAAAAAAGAGAACAATAAATATATGTATTATAATTTCCATACTATTTCTAAAATAAAACCATACAAGATGCTGTTCTATTTTTAACTTTTAGATGCATTTTGATAACTTTTATTCATGCTTAACTTCAATTTTTATTTTATTTCGGCTTCATGAAAATCTTAAGTAGCGCTAGTATTGAGCAGTAAAAAACTCTAATGATAACCATATTTTATTGTAATAAACAATTACTGGAACATCAGTAAATAGAAACCAAAATATAACTCGAGAAATTAATACTTTCTAAAAACACTTGGTTTATTTTAAATAGCAATTAATTATCTTATGTTTGTTTTATGAAACAAATCTCTAGATAACAAACACTCAATAAGATTTATTCAAAGTGAGCTAAAATACAAATGAAATTATTATAATTTTTATTTATTGCAATTTTCGTTGAATTTGGTTATATTAGTAGAATATTATCGGCAATAAATTAAAGTCAATAAATAATTCAAACAAGTAACTTAAGCATTCTCAATAGGCTAAAATATTTTTAAGTGATTTAACAAAATATTTTTAAATAATCTAAAAGGTTAAAGAAAAACTAATGAGATCCATTATTTTAATTTAATTTTTAATTTTACAAAAAAAAAACTCATCATAATTTGGTAAATTGTAATTATTATGTAACCAATGTAATTATTATTAATTTTTATAATATATTCCCACTGTTTTGTTTTTCATTTCTATCCCCGTTATG